ATCTAGAGACAGCCTCTCGTGATGACATTAAATGCTTTGTCTTAAGTACCATCCACAGTTTTTCACACCTTGCCTTTCAAACATACATATGTGGACAGAGAACATGTTTTGAAATTAAGAAGAAAACCATAACTAAGGGGGAGCTGTTCTCACGTTAAGAGGAAATGAGGGGTTTATTCCTTTTCACTTACTTAGGGAGAGAGGATTGTTGTTGATGTTGTTGTGTGCCTTCAAGTCATTTCCGACTTATGGGGACCCTAAAGCGCACCTATCATGGGGCTTTCTTGGCAAGTTTCTTCAGAGGGGGTTTGCCATTGCCATCCTCAGAGCCTGAGGGAGTGTGAAAAGGTTACCTATTGGGTTTATGTGGCTGAGCCAAGACAGGATAGGGAAGATTTAATCTAAATTTCTTGCTTTCTGGCCAGAAGGTGGATGTAAAGCAGAGAGGATGGTGAGCTCTGGCACAACAATGACTGGAAGGAGGGGAGGAAGCTATCTAAGTAAATATATCAGGAGTTCTTTGCAAATTGCAAATTGCAACAAGAAATCAATTAATCCTTGCAAGTGGTAGGAAGCTACTGCTTGAGCTTGAGATTCACAGACAGCTTGTGCCTGATGCTAAGGCCTCCCTCCCACAATTGTAGAATTTGCACCCTTTTTTCCCAACCAGTGACATCACTTGGGTTGGTGTCACCCCAATGTGGTAACTCATGTTGTCACTGCCCCCCCACCGGCAGGTAGCCACCCCAGGGGAGAAAATATGGGAGAGAGTGGAAGGGGAGAGGTGATGAAAGAAGAAGCAGCAGCAGGCAGGGAGAAGCACTGGCCATCCGCACACACACCCCTTGACTGCCTTGCCATCCTCCCCATCCTGGCCAAGCTGCCTGGTACACCCATCCCAGCCACCCATCTTTGCGAGTCAGGGTGCTGTCTGCCTGCTGTAGCTGCTGGTGCAGGTAAGGTACTGTGACTTGGCTGGTGGGACTGCTGGCCAAGGAGAAAAGGGAGAAGAAGGAAAGGACTCCATGTTGGCCCCTACTACCGCCACCACCATTGCCTCCCCCTTTCTGGCCTGCTAGGACATGTGTGGGTGTCTGCAGTTCTTTATTGCTTCTGGAGGCTTCTGGCAGAGGGCCTTTACCTTTTTGGTGAGGCCAGAAGAAATGTATTCTAGGAAATTTGGAGGGGCCAAGGGCCACAGAAGCAGTACTAGGGCCATATGCAGTCCCGAGGCGGCACTTTGCCCATCCCTGCTGTAAGGAGTACAAAACAGTATCCTGTTTATCCTGAGAACCAACTTCTGGTAGGATAGGTGGATGACTGACCCATGAGCAATGGTTGAACATCATGGGAATATGGGGGAATGGGGATATGAATCCAGTCACACACGCCCCCAATGGTCTCCATTGTTCTGGCCTCTTTGTAGAAGTTCTGGTCACCACCATTTCAGTCTTGTGGTTTATCTTCTCATGCATTGTTTTCACGGCAACATTACTTCGCTTTGAAGATTGTGCAACCTTGGCCTATTAATATCCCAACTATGGATTTCTTGTACTGTAAACCTAAACTCCAGAACAAATGAAAATACCTCTCTGCATGGTGTTATTATCTCATCAAAATTCCCCTTAAATGGGTTTCCCCATTGTGAAGAAGGAGATTGTTGTGTGATGGGCCTCCAAGTCGAAGCTGGAATAAGTTGCATCCTACTGAGGTTCTGTAGCAGGAACTGTGTGAGCCAGTTTTTTTCTCTTTCTCTCACATTGGGGCAATCAGGTAATTTTTGATTCTGGGCTTACATAGCCTCTAACATTTTACATGCAGAAACCAGGACACATATAGCCAAGCAACATCAGAATGTGCATAAGACATTATTCATGAAGAAGAACACATAAGCTAGGAGAGGCTGCAGCAGTTTGCTTTTGCCTGAGCCTACAGAGAGGGAAAACATTCCACTCCATCATCCTTTCCCCTTCAATACTGAGTTAATTGGGTACAAATGATTTATGCATTTTGAACCCAGTTTACAGCAACTTAAATAAGCTGAGGACCAAAGGGGGAAGTGAGAGAATGAGATCGAAGCTGGGGCATTTTAAAAGCAGCTGGAAAAGTGGGATAGCAGAAAATTAACTGAGACTGTCCCTGCCAAATCGCGATAGTTGGAGGGTATGGGCTTAATCATGCTATAGATCTCCTTCCACTTTAGATGATAGTGTGTATTAATGTACACCATGCAGAGGAGTATTCTCATTTCTTCAAAATATGGGAAGCCAGGCCTGATTATTTGGAAAATTTTCTGTTGTGTGGGGCCTTGGATATATGTCCCAATGTCCTCCTTTAATGGTACCACTGTTGTCTACAGGGATACTTATCCACATGCCACTTCAGTCCTTCCTAGCTCAGTCTTCCCTCCACATCCACAGATTCTTTATCCACAGATTCAAGCATCCACAGCTTGAAAATGTTTTCATATAGTTTTCCAAAATGCAAACCTTGATTTTGACACCATTTTACTGAGCCATTGTATTTAATGGGACTTGAGCACCCACATTTTTTGTTATCCACGGGCGGGCGGGCTGTGTGTGCCCTGGAGCCAAACCCCAGAGGATACCAACAGCCCACTGTACTTGTTTCAGATTAACTGGTAGCTCTGCAAGTTGATCCTTTTCTCATAAGACAATAAGGCATTTCCCTTCTCATGACTATCTGGGTCTCTTTCTAGGTACAGCCCTCCTCCTCCAGATTCTCTTCAATGTTGACTTCCTTGTGACAGCAGTCCCAGCTGGCCTTCATGGAGAGAAGTCATCCAGTCTCAGGAGCACCCCAGAATGGCGGGCAAATCTTCAGAAAGAATTGGGCAGTAGTTTAAAACTCTCTCAGCAACTTCTCCGTAAAACAAGGAACCTTAAATGTCTCTATGTAAGTCTGCCCTTGTTTCTAATGTGCTCCAGACACAATGAAGCGATAGCAATGGGCTGATTTCTGAAAGGAAAAAGAATAAGCATATTACCAGTCCATCAGTTTTCTTGTTTTGGCTATCTACCCAATATTCAGGCGACTAAAATCTGTAGATGAGCAAGGAGAAGCTTTTGCCATGTAAAATATAAAGAATAATAATTTGTCTGGATTTTTAAAATTCTGGATTCGTTAGAATGTGAATCAGGCGATTTTGATGTGTTTTTCTGAACCTCATGTGCATATTCTTCCCACCTTACTTTTATATCAAGATTAATGGGGGTGTATGGAAATTCATGTGGATTTTAAAACATTTTTTCCTAGAGGGTGCATTTATTTAGGTATTTTACCAAATGTACATGTTTTCCCTATTGACAAATACATGTGTGTATCTTTCTCAGTTGTGCAATTGCTTTAGCTGTTTGCATTTTTAAAATGTGTGTATTATTTTGGATGCTATTTATTCCTCTAAAAACCTTGAAATGCCTAGAAGTTTTATGTGTCAATTATTGAGAGGAAGTGAGTTGTTTCTTTCAGTATGTGTCTCAAGAGCTGCAAAAAAGCTACTTTTGTCAAAACTATGGAATGAAACAAAGTTATTTTCAATTCTCATGTCTTCTTAATGCTGAGGGTGGCTGAGGAAGGGTCAACAAGCAATCTACACAGAAATCTGGTACAAAATTGGAAATTTGGGCCTCATTCCCACTTACATTTAAACCAGTTTGCAATTTGCCCCTGCTCCGTGTCAGTGAATCAATTCCAAAAGGTCTGTCATTCCCACTATGAAAGCGGGTCTTTTCATTATTCCCTTGTAATTGCTTCTTTTTTTGGCATGATTGTCATTCCCACTAGTTTGCACCACTGCAAAATGCATGTCAATAATCTATGTGTCATCGGTGACGCAAGCAGCAAAACAGTGAGGACAGAGCCAGAGCGGGACAACTTTAGCAGGCTGCTCAAAAGTACATCATTTCCCCTTCAAGCAGCCCAGTTTGGGAACTAAATTTAAAAAAAAAAGATAGAAAATTCAATCCATTGGTTTTGCAACTACTTGTCTCACTGAGCTGCCATCAGCTAGATTGCCTGGCATGCCACCAAGTAAGTTGCAAAAGCAACGGATTGTATATTCACTAATTCAGTATTTATAAAAAAAAATGTATATTTGGTAACTTGGGGTGTGTGTGTGTGTGTGTAATGCTCCCATAGGTCACACCACAAGCACAAAGGCAGCGCTGGGGAAGGGCATGGTGGGTCTCCCAAAAATTGAGTCAGGATGGTAAACACCCCTCTGCCATTAGTCCCTCCCCTCCAGAATGATGCAATTCAGATCCGTCGTTCCCACTTGTTGAACACGCTTTGGAATTGATTATTTTCAAAAGAACAGCCAAAGAACTAATGTCAGGAAACAGTGGGTTTTTTGCATTTGCCTCACTTCATCGCGATTGAAACTGAGCTCAATAGGATCGGAACCAGTTTAAAGTGAGAATGACAGTCATATAACCCGATCAGCAATTCGTTTTAAATCATAGTGGGAACGATGCCATGATGGTCCAGTGATATTTTTCTTCTTGAAATTGTTAGTAATTTTCTAATGGAATCATTTCCATTTTAACCATAAAGCTTTTATTTGAGATAACCAGTGTGATAGATTTATTAGATTATTGATTATTGATTAGAGCAAGGGAGATGAACCTCTGAACCATGAGCCAAAGGAGAGTTCCACATCCCCACCACTTTTGGTGGCTGTGGAATATTAAAAAATCTTGACATGGGAGAGTTACTTTGGCAGGGTTGATGCTGGGAAAGGAAAGGGTAAAATTTTGAGTAGGAATTGTTGCTGTGGAAAGAAGGGCAAGACACAGCTCAGGTCCCCATGCATTTCTTGTTGTTGCTGTTGTGTGCCTTCAAGTCCTGTCTGATTTATGGTGATCCTAAGGCAAACCTGTCATGGGGTTTTCTTGTCAAGTTTCTTCAGAGGGGGCTTGCCATTGCCATCCTCTGAGGCTGAGAGAGTGTGGCCTGCCCAAGGTCATCCAGTGGATTTACATGGCCAAGCTAAGATTTGAACTCTGGTCTCCAGAATCATAGTCCAGTGTTTTAACCACTACACCACGCTGGCTTTAAAGACAGCGACAGCTTTAGTTTAAATAGTTTTAATCACTTGTGTCCAAAACACACAGCAGAAATAATCCAGTCAGAGACTGCTTTAACTGCCCTGGCTCAGTGCTATGGATTTCTGGGAATTGTAGTTTATTGTGGCACCAGAGCTCTCTGATAAAGAATGTTCAATGTCTCACAAAACTACAGTTCACAAATACCCTAGCATTGAGCCAGGGCAGTTAAAGCGGTGTCAAACTGGATTATTTCTGCAGTGTGATTTCGACCTTAGTTCCTTTCATTGTTCTTAATGCATACTATAGCTCTTGTTTGGAAAATTGGTAACTCTTCTTACATTGCTTTCTCTTCTTTCAGGTCTCTGAACATCTGTCAGGAGTCAGGCTCACTCTTACAGCACACTCACGGCTGCTTCCCGCATCAAACCTTGATCTGCACACATGGTTTAATCTTCCAGTAAGAATATTTATTTATTTACTTAAAACAGTTGCAAGCAACCATCCTTTCAATAAAACTTTATTCAGGCAGCTTATGTCAAAAACAATGGGAAGAAGTGATGTTCAAAGTCACATTTATTAAAAGCATCGCCAATCAATCATGTCATGAACTAAAAACCAGTCAAAACTTTTAAGTGCCATTGAAAACCTAAAAGTGGAAGACCAGCACTTGATGCTGAAAAGATGTCCAAGGTTGCATCCACACAGCAGCAATAATCCAGTTTGATACCACTTTAACTGCCATGGCTCAATGCTATGGAATTCTAGGAACTGTAGTTTGTTGTGTCACCAGAGCTCTCTGACAGAGAAGGCTAAATGTCTCATATAACTACAGTTCCCAGAATACCATAGCATTGTGCCATGGCAATTAAAGTGGTGTCAAACTGGATTATTTCTGCGGTGCGGATGCAGCACAAGTTAGAGCCAGGCAAACTGATCTGGAGTGGGTGCTCCACATGCCACCATGGAAAAGGCCATTTGCCTTGATAGCCAGCAGCCCAGGAATTCTAATGGTGGGTAAACCAGAATTTGACCTCTGATACTGTCCATAAAAACTGAGCAGATACATATGAGAGTTGGTGGTCTTTCAGATATCCTGGTCCATGTCAGGGAGGGGTTGGCAAGGTATGCCCTATGGGACACAACAACTGCCAGGACTTTTTTGGGTTTGTTTGTTTGTATGTTTTGCCTCCAGAGGTAAGAAGAAAAAAAATGAAATTCTTTTCCACTTAAATTTTCTTTCTTTTTTTTTTTTTTAATACATTGTAGTTCCCCACTACCCTCCATTGTTGTTGCTGCGTGCCTTCAATTCATTTCTGACTTATGGCAACCCTAAGGCAAACCTATCATGGGATTTTCTTGGCATAATTTGTTCAGAGGGGGTTTGCCCTTGCCTTCCTTTGAGGCTGAGAGACTGTGATTTGCCCAGGGCTACACAGTGGATTTCCATGTCCTGACCTAATCCAACACTTAAATCACTACACCATGCTGACACCCTCCCTATCCCAGCTTCAAAAAAACCTGCACCTAAGAAGGTAGAAGTGGGGGGGGAAAGCCCACAGTGAACTGTACTTGAGTTGTTAATTCCTCCATGTGGTTCAAGAATGTTTGTACTGCCTTGTTGTTGTGTGCCTTCAAGTCGTTTCCAACTTATGGCAACCCCAAGGCAACCCTATCATGGGGTTTTCCTAGCCAGATTCATTCAGAGGCGGTTTGTCTTTGTCTTCCTATGAGGCTGAGAAAGTATGACTTGTCCATGGCCACCCAATTCGTTTCCATGGCTAAGCGAGGATTCATACCAATACTCAAACCGCTACACTACTTACTGCCTTTGTTGTTGCGTGTCTTCAAGCCGTTTTCAACTTATAGCAACCCTAAGACAAATGTATCATAGGGGGTTTTTTGGGCACGATTTGTCTGAGGAGGTTTTTTGCTTTTGCCTTCTGCTGAGGCTGAGAGAGTGTGACTTGCTCAAAGTCACTCATGGCTGAGCAAGAATTCAAATCCTGGTCCAGCGCTTTTCAGTAAAAAGGAGAATGAGTAACTATATGTTAGAGACAGAAGATGCTACATAATTGTACCTGTCTGGAACAATAATTGGTATTTCAGCTGTCAACTCACAGTCCTTATACTTTAAAGATATTCAGAAGACCTGTGGTGGGTGAAGGGGTAATTGAGGGAGGGATTTAACCATAAAAGCAAGGACTCTTGTTTTCTCAGAAGAGCTGACAATGGCATGGTGGCCTGTCTGCCAAATGCTGGGTCAGGGAAGATAGGTGGGTGGCAGGCATGAAATTTAAATTATTTTCAATTAATTCTTTGCATCCAAATGCTCTCCAGGGGTCTTGGGAACATTTTGACCACATTTCAGGATCCTGAGCCAATGTAGGTCCAGAAGATGCCTTTTAAAAGAAACAAAAAACAAGACACTAACAGAATTACTCTGGTCACTTTTTCCCCAGGATGCTGAGCGCCTGTCCTACATTGCTGAGAAGCTCTCATTTTATCAGACATTGGTACAGCAGCTGAAGGAATTAACCAAAGATGACTCCAGATTTGCTTCCCAGTTTGAAGATCTCAGCTATAACCTCCGAGACCTAAGTCACCAAGTGAGTTATCAGGTGGGTCTACTTGCCTTTTAGGTCATGGATGAGAGAAGGGGTGTCCTTTGGTTTCAGCAGCATGTCAACCATCTTTAATTCTCTCCATAGATTTCACTTTGGGAGCTGCCATTGGAAAACCAGCTCCAACCAACTCTGAAGCCGCCTCAGATCCTTCAGCATCAAAATCAGTGGCTCAACCACCAGGAAGTGTACCTCATCTTGCACTATCTTGAGAATTTCCTTTGTCGTGTTGCGCGGGACTTCAAGATACTCAGAGTTAGAGTGGCAAAGGAGACTTTCCTTTCCAAGGATCCCAGAACTCCCAAATCCCACTCTTTCTCATCCTAACTTCCTGTTCTAGGGAATGTTAGTATTCTGGCATCCAGATTGCTAAACCCTGTTTAATTTAACAATTAAATGCTGTTTATTTATGAACATTATATTGCATATTTGAAAAATCTAATTTATAACTATTTATTTATTTTCTACCAAAATAAGAAATGTTAATTTATTTTGTCAATAAAGTGGTTTAGAAAAACTCCTCTGCTGTGTTTATGTTTCTACAAAAACAGCTCTTTCAGTTTTAACCATGGTATAAGTAAAAGGGAAAGGGAAAGCAAAGCTAGAAATGCTTGAGAGGCAATCACTTTTTTGTGTATTTTGGTTATATATTGACACAATGCTTATCAGACTTGCTGGTCTAGAGGAATGATTCTAATTTGGATTCTAGTTTGGAGCTTGGACTTAAATCAGACCTTGATAAGAATTTAAACTATTTCATCATTTTCAGGATGGGGCAAAATAATCAGTTTTTAAAATTCTGAATGTGGGCCAACTCCAAATTTGTCCAGTTGTGTTTAGATTGACTTCCTTGCTACAGAAACTTTAGAGATGAGCTGAAAGAACCAGCTTTCAGAATTTGAAAATATCTTAAAGGGATCTGCTAATGTCCCTTTTGTCAACCACTCTTGTCTAAAAGGCTGCTTGTGATCTATTATGAGAAAGATACAAAGAGCTTCAGATTTAAGAGTACTTCTCTTGCTAGTTGTCTGTTGGTGTATGCCTTCAAGTCATTTCCAAATTATGGTGACCATAAGGCAAACCTATCAATATTGGCAATATTTGTTCAGAGGGGACCTGCCCCATTGCCTTCTTTTGAGGCTGAGAAACTGACTTCTCAAGGTCACCCAGTGGGTTTCCATGGCTGAGTGAGGATTCAGACTCTGGTCTCCTAGGCTGCATTCACACTGTAGAAATAATCCAGTTTGACACCTCTTTAACTGCAATGTCTCAATGCAATGGAATTCTAGGAATTGTAGTTTGTGGTAGCACCAGAGCTCTCTAACAGAGGCTAAATGTCTCGTAAAAGTACAAGTCCCAGAATTCTATAGGACTGTCAAACTGGATTATTTCTACAGTGTGGATGCAGTCCCAGAGTTCTCATCCAACACTCAACCCATTACCCTAGGCTGCACCAACTTATGCTCAGCTACTATATTTGTAAATAAGTTAGTATTTCCAGGTAAAATAAGGAACAAGGCTTCATTTGCTTTAATGTTTTTAGGAAAGGGAGTTTCAGCATGTATCATGCAAACAACAGTTGCTGCAATCCCTTCTTTTACCCAGTCATTAAAGGTACAGGAGCTTTGTGCCTTATTTCACCTGGCAACCCTAAAATAAGTGCAAGCATTGCAAACTACTAATAAATCTCTAGTGATCACTTTCCATGGAAACTGAACCTAGTAGGGATGGGAAACGGGAGGTTAATGTAACAGTTGGTTGCAAAGGAGATTCTGGATTTTTTCTTAGGAAGCATGCTCAGTTCATGCAAGACACCGGCTTTGCCTGTTGGGACCCACAGTTGCCTGTGCTGAACATTGCAACCTTCAATGCACAACACTCTTTCCTAACTGCACAAAAGGGTGGAAGACCAGTTGCAGTGGGGAAACCCATGGCAAGGAGGTTGTATGTCACCAATGAGTTCTTCATGAGGAATTCCTGATAAGCTTCCAGCCAGTGGGAGCAGATGACTTTCATGTCAGGCAGGCAGTGACTCTGCTTCAGGTTTTAGTACAAACTTTAAAGAACCTATCCAAAATGCTGAACCATATCCCTCCAACAGGGTCAGCACCTTAACAGTTCAAGTTAAAAGCAAAATGGACTCGTTGCCCCACTTGACATGGTAGCCAGCCACTGCCACGGCTTCCAATGAGATGATTTGACAACCATTCCTTTTACTTTTATCAATTTATTTCAAATATTTCAGCAGAAGCTTTTGAAGTGATACAAGAAAAGGAAGATAGAGTGCACCAGTTTTATAATCTGACTATTTAACATCTTAAAGCACTTGAAAAATCATGATTCACATTAAAAAAATCAAAACAAAGAGAATGGAAATAACATTA